TACTAAAGAGAAGGAAAGCCCAACATTAGTGGCTCTCATGAAGCACATAGAATTAAATGAATTAGTGTGATAGATAGCACTGGAAGACACAACCTTAGCAAGAAAAAAGAGAATATTCTTCTCTTTGTTAAGGGAAAAAGTAATGAATGATTGATATAAAACAAAGACATACATAATTTTCTTCTCTTAATTTGTAAGACATATGTACTTACCTTTGAGATTTTTTTAACATATATTTTGTTACTTTATAAAAATACTCAGCACACTTCAATAAATGCATAGTTGTTAGATGAGTAAATATGGAGAACTTAATGTAGGACATCAACTGACATTAAGAACAACTAATCCTGTAAAATTAGACATCTTATTGGTTAATACTAGTACATTAAAATTAATTTTTAAATATGGAGTACAAAATAAAATATTTGAAGTCTCTCATTTATTTTTTGGTCTTTCAAAGAAATCTCTGTGATGGAAATAGTTCTTATTGTTTGATTTCAGTGACCGCTATTCCCTCTCAATAATGATTCTTTTAGATTTTGCAAATTCTTTGTGTTTGACTCTTTTTCTTTTTCTTTATTTAATTCTTTTCCTGTCTATTCCTACAGAAAATATTAACTGATACTTTTGCCATTTTAAAGATTGGACATATGATATTCCTTTGGAAATATAAATAGGGTATTTTTTTCACGACCTTGCAACCTATTGCTTAATATTTCTTCATGACTTGAGTATATGATAATGCATACTATAGTTGTTCAAGTAGTACAAACTTTCTCAAATAAAAAAAATATCAGACAACATGGGAGAAAAGGGGGGCAGAGTCAGGGAGATGCCATGGAGCTGCCACCAAAGTCAGGCATGCTGAAACTTTAGCCCATAAGCCACAGCCACGTGGTGATACACAGGTTACTAAAAATGGGTTAAATTAGTATAAGAGTTAGCCAATAAGAAGCTAGAGATAATGGGCCAAGCAGTTAATTAATTAATAAAGTTTCTGTGAGGATATTTTGGGTCTAAGCTAGACAGACACCAGGAACCAACAAGCAGCCCTTTATACAACAGGCTGTTACTTTCCTTCTGCTCTCTTCTGAAGTACTCTCAGATCTTAAGGAGGTTGGAACTGATATCATGCTTAGGACTGAGAGCTCATCAATCTCTTATTCTCAACTTCACCTTATTCTAACAGTCTTCAAATTGTGATCATAACTACATAGTCTTTCACTAAAACTTTCTTTTCTTATTTATCCAACACACATGTGTGCTCACAAGTATGTGCATGAGAACATGCATAGAAAGACAGAGGGGGAGACAGACAAAGGCAGAGAGAGAGAGAGAGAGAAAGAGTTGGAGGAGAAAGGGGGAAGAAGAGAGAAACATAAAAAGAGATTTATAATTTAGAAGTTTTTGATGAACACAAAAGACGGAGAGAAATCATAAGAGTCTTTAATATTGCAAAAGGGAAACTGTGGTTCCAGTTTTCAAAGAGCTAAGATTCAATCATGAATTTTTACTGATTTTCTTGGATACTCAATCTAATTATTTTCTCTGTGTGCAAATGGTCAATTATCCCATGTAAAACCCTAATATATTACTTCCTGAAATGACAGAAATGATGATCAAAATAAAAACAATCCTAGCTCTGGTCCTGAGTCTCATCTAGATAGTTTGAAATCGCAAGTAACACAAAATGTATTTGTGTACTTCATGTATTCAATTGACTTTCTTCATGGATGCTCCTGTCTTTTCTTCTCTCAGTGACAGCTGTGGTGGTAGGGATCCTGCAGGATACTATGTTTGAGACAATGAGCTGAGGTAGCAGTTGCTATAGTTAGTCAAGGGTAAGCCAAGATTTGTAGGAATCTACTGTGGCATTATGTGGTAGAGAAAAACGAAAACAGATTAAATTCTCCAGTTGTTGATTTTCCAAGTACATTTATGTAAAGGCAGCAAGGCATGGAGTGAAAGGAAGAAAATCAGCTAGATATCTCTGTACAGGTTTCAAGATTTCATGTGCTACTCATGCACAGAATGTACAAAAAAAATGATTAAACTTGAGTAAAATTTGCGGACCCACAAGGTAGCTCTGCAGATAAAGGCTTTGTTGCCAAATCTGACACCTTGAGATCCATCCATGGTTCCCATGTGTCACTAATAGTTCTTTGATCTGTACAGATGTCATGGCTTGTGCACACATTATGCATGCTCACACACACAATAAATAATTGTCTGTAATAAAAGTAGTTAAATGTATTTGTGGGTAAGTATTTGTATGCTTCTTATTCTGGAAGAATGAAAACAACTTTAATAATCTGAGGAAGAGATTGTAGTCATTCATTTGCTTCTAATGATTTAATTCATTTTTTAAGGTGCAGCTTTTATGTGATAGATGGAATTGGCTATAGAAGCAACAGCGAGAGAGAAGGCATCAGGATTAAAACAGCTGTTATATTCTATTCAACAAGTTAGGGATACAGATGGCTACTTCTCTCCAAAAATGTAGTGAATATAGAGAATTCAAAGGCCTTCTTTATGGCTTTTTTCATTTGCAATAGTTCCTTTTGAAAACAATGAGTTGAGGAATTTATATAGCACAATATAAAATTAAAGTTAAATTGGCAAAGTTAGAATGATATTAGCTACTTATTTTAAGTAAGAAACTTCTCTCTGTCTCTGTCTCTCTTGAGTGTGTGTTTGTGGGTGTGTATGTGTGTTGTCTAATTAAATAAAATGAGCGCAAGGAATGTATCATTATTTTGCCTATGAAGAAAGGGCACGGTGATTCTTCTAGAGAAAAAAAGAAGAAAATGGTCATATGCATAGAAGTCAGTAGAACACATACTGCAATGGATGTGAGAGAAGCTAAAGCTATCATGATGACAAAAAACTCTTTGGAATCTGCAGAGAAGAGGGAGCTGAAGTGGGGCTTCAGAGGAGGGCTGCAGAATGAAAATGATGCTCACCATATTACAACCAAAGAAGATGAAGCTACAATGAAGTTTGGGGTGAAGAGGTTTTAATAAGAAGGCAGCAGAAAAAAATAATCGTGAAGGGTAAAGATGGAGTTGAACAACTTCTTTCATAAGAAATAGTTTTATGCAAAATCTAGAGGAGACAGATGAGAATGGGAGGAGGAGATGTTGCAACCCTAGGTGAAGGAATAGCTAAGAGGCAGGAAAACAACAGCCTCCGGGTGACCTCACAGACATGTCAAACAACAAGGACATAAGGCACAAACAAAGAACTGGAGACTAGGGCGAAGTTGGGACGTAAGGAATTAACGAGGAGCTTAGAGCATCCCTATAAGGATGAATACATATGGGAGAACAGAACTTCAGGGCCTCCTGCTCTGCCATGAGAATGAAAAGGGAAGAATGTGGGCTCAAATAAGGGCTCCAATTAAAGGATGAAGAAGCAAAAGCTCATAAGTGGAAAACAGTCTCTAAGAGTATCCGGGGTGAACGACTTTGAAGAAGAGCAAGATCTGACAGCTGCTGACTAAAAACCTCTTGAGATCTGCTTGAGTGTTGTTCAAAGGGATGTGGGGGGATGTGTTGTCCTGCTATCACAATGGGAAAGGAAAGGGTCTTTCTAAAGTGCAAGGGTACTCAACACTGGAGGCTACCGAACACAGACTGGAAGAGTCCCTACCCCTGGCAAAATCTACCTTCAAAGCTGGCTGGAACCCCTGAAGATAGATAGCCCTGGCTGTATTTGGACCGCTAAGAGAAATCACAGCAGGAGCTATAAGAGGAAACTGGCAAGGATGGTTTTCACATTCGTAATAAGCATTGTGTTTTCAGGTGAGTAGAATTGCAGTGCACCTGGTAAGAAATGCGAGCAAGACATGGTTCCCTCCTCACTAAACTTCTTCTGTATAAAAATGAAAGAAAAGAAGCCGAAGACATGATGCTATATATGTGTGTATGTATGTATGTGTGCATGCATGTATGTATGAATGTATATATGTATTTATGTATGTCGAGGGAGGCTGCTCATTCATTTCCTGTCTGCCCAGATTCAAAATACTCACACTGAAACTATATTAATTGCAATACTGTTTGGCCAATAAACTAACCCATTTCTATTGCTTTATATTTTACCACGAAGCTTCTGACCTACTGGCAAGGATCCAGCTTGTGGCTTGAGTCTTTCTCCTCTGGCGGATACATGGCGTCTCCCTGACTCTGCCTATTCTCTCTCTATATATATATCTCTTCCAACCTGGCTACTTTCTCTTAAGCCATTTTATTAACCAATAAAAGCAACACATATATAGAAGACTTCCCACACCATATGTATATATATATATATATATGCATATGTATATGTATATATACATTGCTTAGTGTATCTTTCATCTGAATTTTTATATGTTTTATTCACATCATTTAAATGCATAAAATCTTAGTAGAGAAAGAAAGGAAGTGTATGGACTCTTAGCATCCAGGTACAACTTTCAAAGAAATTCCTCTTTATGGTATGGTGATCTGTCTTCCTGTGATAAAAGAACAAGTTACTTCAGAGCTCCCTCAGGTGATGAACATTAGTAAAACCACAGGGAACCCCACTTCTATAGAACTTCTTAGTCATTACAGAAGCTGTCATGGACATCATCACATTCTTGCATGTGTTAGATATCTATGGAGAATACATATAAGTGTGTATATGTTTTCTAACCTACAAGGAGCTGTCCATACTTTAATGCTACTATTCTATATACTAAAACATACATTGTGTGCTACCAGTCATTTCAGGTGTCTTATAATATATCTGTGAGTGTATTTGTGCCAATGTATATATTGGGGTCTGCATGTGCCTTCTTAGGCTTTCGATCTGTGAATATCAGGATATTGGTACTCCAACATTTAACATGAGACTTTGATAGGCTACTCTTCAGACTATAGCATTCAATGTGACTGAAAAGAAGAGCCAGTTATCAAAACATTTTCTTTTGCTTTACTTTGTTTTATTTGCTTTTTTGGTATTGCCAATATTACTGTAGCACGGAGCTTTGACTTGTGTCAGAGAATAGATGGCAAACAAATGTAGACAGAATAAGTTGGAAATGCAGATAACCATGCCCTGTTTCATAAGTTAGCAGTGATGAACCTTTGTAGGTTTGGGGTAACATGGGGTTCCTCATCTTCTGGTGGCTTATCATCCATAAATCTCTGAAAGAATAATAAGAGCCTTAAATTTGCAATTCTTAAAAATCAGCATGAGAGTTGCAATGAATTCTCGCTTAAATGAACCAGTCTTAAACACATGATTAAGTAGCTATGTGGTAGAGCCCTCAAATGTGCTTTTATAGACGTAGAGTTGATGGCTGCAGATATGGCTCAGAAAGTAAAAACTCTTGCTGCTCTTGTAGAGACCTCGTGCTCTGATCATAACACCCACATGTTTGCTCATAAACATTTGTAACTGGAGCTCCAGGAAATATAATCTCTCATGGCCTCCACAAACTTTTCCATAAATGATGTTCACATATACTCATGAAGGTAAACACGTTTTTAAATAAATAAAATAAGTTAATTTTAATTTTGCAGACAATATATTTTTATCATATTATTTTCTTTCCCTATTCCTCCCAGATCCTCCTCACCTTTCTACCCAATCTAATTTGTGTTCTTTCTCTCTCTTTCCTTCTAAAATAAAAAATAAACTAAAATAAAACGATCAGCACACAAAAACTAATTGATTTCTTATAATCCATAAATAAATGACCTGTCATAATAGGCACAATGATTTAATTTATGTAAATAAAAAATTAAAATAGAAAATTTTCATTGTCTTCTGTCCATTCAAACAATTTGTTTGGGTTTTTATAAATGACTTATTGGCTTTTAATACTCTTCCTGTCCGAAGTGTTTTACATTTGTTTAATAATTTGCTTATGAAAAAAGAATTTTCAAACTATTTCATAATAAATGAGGGACTCTTTGGGGTCTATCGAATAGCAACAAGTGAGAATTCATTTAATCCCTAACACATTCTAATACCTAAGCTATGTCTTAAAGGACTGGGAAGCAGTTACAACACTATGGAACAGTGCACTAAAACCATTCTGTCTCCTGCCTTGCAATTGTGGACAAACTGAATGAATGTGATAGACATTATTTCTTGACTTAAGTAAAGGAGGGGTTTGGAAGATTCCCAGAATATATCATAATATATTATATAATGTGACAATTTCATTTGTCAAGGACAACATCTGTCCCTAATGAGGAGAGTCCTTGGACAGTCAATACAAGCTCGGTTTACCTTTTCATTTGATTACCTTACAGAGTCCTGTGCAGTCTTGTAAAAACCATATGACACTCTTTACTTTCCCCACACTGCTCCATCTTGGACCATCCTGTTCTGTAAAGTTGTAGGGTGAATAGTATGTAGAAGGTGACTGTATTACACAGTGATGTGTTTGAGGAGTATCCCTTTCTTGAACATAGTGCAAAAAATAGAAAAACAGAACAAATGCACATGTGAAAGAATGATATCTTACAAACAAGTGCAAATGAAAGTGTGTAAAAAAAAGTCAAAATCCACAGGCACAAGAAGACAAGAGTATAAAACTCAATGACACTGTGTGATGAAGGTGATAATCAGGGACGTATAATATAGCCCTCCTGATCCTGAATATGTTTTAATCTAAATTAGAGTAAAAAGCCTGCTGTTATGTAAGGACAAGTCTTAGAACTCAATAGAAATGATATTATTTTTAGCATATCTTGTGGAAGAAAGCAAGGTAATAGCTCTGATGTTAAAAAAGCTTTTTAATGGCTAACATAAAATACTATGCAATTTAATTTTGCCATTTAAGTGTAGCAATTTTGCCTAAACTTAAAACAAATGTCACATTCTGTGAAAATATATAAATTACATGAGAAACTTCTTTATTGAAAGGAAAGAGCTTTGGGTAAGCATATTCTTTTTAAGTCCATTGATACAAAAGTGAGTCATACAAAGTTGTTAAGAGAAATTATCTGACTAGATTGAACTCCACAATGCAGCATTTCCACAATATAATTTTAACCAGAAGGTGTGTTGAAAGTATTATCTATGCAAAATATTTCCTTTTCAAATCTATTCATTCTGAATTTAGACCCAGTGTTAATGTTTGGTTGTTTAGATTAGCCCCATATACTTGGACTTATTAATGAGATAAATGTAGATGTAATTGAGAAAATTAGAAAGGAATAATAATTATTTTTATGATGTTTGTTATGCAAGTCTTTTTATTGTCGCAATAACCTTTAGTCCTTCTAGGGCTTGCAGTTGGTTATGTTCATGTATAGATTGCTTTCACTGAAGGTACTTTTAGAAAAACAGCATCTCTAGAGGTAAATTTTGATAAAAAAAAGAATATTAATGTTGAGGTGGACCATATAGACTAAGCTTCTGCATGACCCTCCCCCACAAAAATATAGTTAAAGCTTTTTACATGAAGAAAACATGGATGCTTACTAAATGTTTATCTTGTGCATGCCATTATTCCAGATGTGTTCACAGATGTTCATGATGAATTGCGGTAGCAGTACAAAGTTAATCTTTAACAAAGCTTGACTGTAGACAAGTTTACTGAGACTCTGAGTGCTGAAGCTCTAGGAAAAACCCTCAATCCAAATTGATGTGAAAGTCAAATATTTGTTTATATTTCTTCCCTTGAAGTAAAAAAAAAAAAAGTGTTCCATGCAAATCATTCTGCTAGAAGACCCGCTCTTGTCCCCGTCTCCGAGTTTCGTACCAGCTTTAACTGCCTCAGAATTTCAAGGTCATGACACACAGAGGGTTCTGTTTTTTATCTATTGGCCATTGATATAACATGAGTTGTTTCTCCCCACAAAAAAAAAAACTAAAGTACTAATACTAACAATGTCAAAGTACGACTCTTTTTAGTGAACTTACTCTTGACTTGGGTAGTTCCATAAATTAGGTTACATTTGATTCATTTTCTAGCGCCATTTGAAGGAGAAATTTATAGTCAGCAGCAACAGATGAGGCTGAGTGGAGGTAGAGAGATGATGACCATCTGCAAATCAAAAATATAGCTCAGAAACAACAAACTCTGAATGTATTTTGACCTTGAATTTTCCTCATGTGAAAATACAATGTAATATTTAAACCACCGGATCTGTTGTTGTTTGATATGGTACCACTAGCAAACTAAGGCAGTTACCACCCCTCAAAAACACATCCTTTCTCTCTCACTAGAATTTTGAGGTTATTTTATGTTGGGAAGCATAGTATGTAGTATCTGCTGAATAGAAATCTAAGTGATTTTCATGCATCAAACATTTCATTATCCATGGTATAAGTAGAAATTGTGGAGCTGCAAGACCTACACTTAACTCTGGGCTCTGGTAGCTTGGCAGCCTCTACCATGTCCTCTAAATCTTGTTCTCATGCCCTAAAGTACTGTGGAATCCTCTGGAACACTCCAGTTCATTTTAAGCACCCATCGTTAACTATATATTTTCAGCCAAATTATAGCAAAAGTAAGATGTTGGTCATTTTTAAAAGCATTCATTTTTCTCACCCCATTAAGTTTCATTTTCTTATCATTCACCAAAATCCTGTTTGTGAAGAAGACAGAAAATTTGCCTCCACGAAGTCTGCTTTCCCAGTAGGTTTTTTCATTTTCCTTTAGTGAAACTTGGTGATTCTTTCCAGGGACATAGGCACACATGCTTACTGTACACTCTTTGCATGTATCCAGGTCAGGACATGGATGCAAACTATCTGAGGTTGTAAGGCATGATCACCACATACATGTCTCACCATGTAGAACCTTGGGGCTCATCGATTCCCTGCTGATACCATGGCAAAATACAATAGTCCTGCATTTATCCAGCATCAACAATAGGCATGTGTTTTTCAGATTTTCCAAATGACTCAGAGAGTACAACTGCATATTGCTTAAGCCTGTCATCCTGAATTTGATTCCTAGAACTTATGAGAGAAGGAGAAAACAGGCTCCTAAAACTTGCCCTGTGACATTTGCACATGTGCTGTAGCATGCATAAGTGTACAGACTTGCATATACACATGCACACGTACAAACAATAATTATTTTTGAAATGTCCTAGAAGGGAAAGATTATAAGAGTCAGAGCATCAGACAATTGCTAGTGGGAATATGTCTCTTAATAATGCCAGAAGCTAACCCTGTAAAGTCTCAGGAATGTGACCCGCTAACATGAAAAAGAGAACAATAGGCTTTCCAACATGCATGGGGAAAGACCACAAGCTTCAACTCTACAAAATAACCACAGGCAATTTAAGTAGTGCTGAGAATGGGATAACGAGTCTTCCCCAGGGATGAGCCCACCAGTTGGTACCCAGTATCAAATGGTCAGCCCTGAAAACATCAAATGAAGCCTGAACAGGTCATAGTAAGTAGTAGATGCATATGCGCACATACAAGTATGCATGGAATGACAATTAATGGAAATGGAAGCAATGCATTTGAAAGAGAGTACATGGGAGAGTAATTTAGAGGGAAGAGAAAAGGGAAAAGGATATAACTGCATTATAAACTCAAAAGTACAAGAAATAAATTTTTAAGAGACAAAAAATGGGAAACTTTTTTTTCATAGAATTCTCATAGTTAAAAGTTCAAGATCAAGGTGAGAAATGGTTTCAATTTCCCCAATGCCTCTAGTGCATCCATACAGCCTACTGAGCATGTGCATCCTGGGACTCCTTCTTAAACTTGAAACAGCATTCTACATCAGTGCCCAAAGTGCTAGGAGCCTCCACATCCAGACTAAACTTATTTATTTAAAGGCCTATCATCAGATAAAAACACCTTGACAATTATATCTTCAACCTGTAAATTGTGAAATAGGAGTGTGATTCAGCCCATGATTGTTGCATAAAGGCATTTCTAAACATGGCTTGATTTTAAGGCTGATCAGCTTTAGGTTATGCTGTGTGGACAATAGTCCAGATTTGGAATAGTTCTTGGAATTCTACATATTAGGACACAAGCCACTGTAATGCATAACAAGCTTGCAATTTTTACAGTCAAACATGTGGTCCCACAGGTGTAGCTAGTGTTTTACTGCTGAGGGTAACATAAAAATAAAGATCTGTGGTATGCTATAATTATATTTTTATTCCTTTGTTCTTTGGCCCAAAATAAAATTTCAAGCTCAAAAATTAATCTCTTTATTTCAAATTCAAATTTTATATTTCTAAAATTTCATGCTTAAGTACACTGTATTTACATGATTTCCACCTCTCTCCCTCCTCAGTTCTTTCCATGTCTCTTTACCCTGGTTCAAAGACTGAACAACTGGCTAGGACTTTGGGTAATGCTCTTCCTTGGCAGATTACAACAATTTATTTCTTAAGGGTAAGTTATATTATACATCAAAAAATTTTGACTCAAGTTAAAACTTGCCTTACTAGCCCAATATTAGATGAAGTTTTTCTTTGGGAGAGTAGTAAATTGATAATGAGATAAAAGAAAAAGATAACTTTACAAAATGACATTTTAATGGACAGCACATTAAAATTAAGTCATTAAAACTTGAATCCCCAGTAGGCAGCTTAATCATTATAATTAAAGCAAGTAGTTTAAGTAAAGATTAACCCAATTGGTAATGATGCTTTCAAGTGCCTTATGTTTTATGATAAGCACAATCAATGAATTCTTCAAGTAAGTGCTTTCTATTTTTTAAATATTTCTTGCTTATATTCAACATATATTTAAATATTAGTAATAATAAGGGTATGATTTTGTACATAATAATAGGTAGAGTCATTAATTCAGAAATTCACTCTGCAGTCGTTTGGTATGCTTTGAATGCCTTGGCCGATGCAAGGGTAGAATAAAGGTTATCAATTATTGCAGGCTTTCTGGAAATATGCAAAAGGAACATACTGCTTTGTGTAGGTATCACTGACCCAGAATATCCCACTTTGAGAGTGTGGTGTCTTGAATGAACTAATTAATATAATGTAGTGTTTAAAGGTTATCAATTACTGCAGGTCTTAGTAAAGACATTTTGGGACCCGGCGATACTGATGAAAACACTGTACATATTGCCAGTCATTTTCACCTGTGGAACTAAAATCTCTAACACCAGATAAATGGACTCGGCCCTTTCCCTTCTGCTGGGTAAATATTCCAGACTACTTTCACTCACAAACCTAGGCAGACATTCGCTGACCTCAATGATCTGTTCCAATTACAAAAAATTATCACAGCCAAGCAGATACAAACATAAAGGTTAAAATAGTCTACTCATTTACGTCTGAATTTTTAATGGCATTGATGCATTAGTGCACTACCTAAGTCAACAATGATGTTGCATGGAGCAGTTATCATTTATCATAATGTGTGTATTATAAATGTAACTATACCCAGATCAAAATTAGTATATGGATTATTGAATGATTATTTGCAAAGTAAAAAAGTTTGAAGTGAGATCATAATGATGATATTTGCTATGCTATTGTTAAAATAGTCATACCTCTGAAAATTTTTTCAATACTATTGAACACTTGAAAAACATAGAAATGTGAATTAGGCTAGGCTTGGGTGAGAACGTGACAGATGAATGCTTGATCAGATGGCCCCACATTTCCTTGATGTCTGCTCTTCATGTATTAGAGAATTATCACTAGAAATGTAATATTCCATTAAGACAAGGCTCCCTTTGCTAACAATTGTTAATTGTACTAGCGATTATGAAAATTCTTTTGTATAGTTAAGACTATCAGATTCTTCCTAAGTGTTTGGGGCTGGTGGTAAAGTTTAACTGACGTGTAGAACTACCATGAAAAGTACTGAGGAGGAAATGTGTATGTAATGACTCTCAGCAACCAGACAATAGTACAAGATTATTATTGAAATCCAGGTAAAAGTTATGTTTAGCATTTTAAACTCCTATTATATAACTCTAGTAATCATTGATTTTGTACCACTCCTTATATTGACCATGTGTTATTATAGATTTGGCAAAGACAGACATTTTTCGGTCACAAACATTGAATATAAACACTTCATGCTTCCAGGTTTCACTGATACATGCTTGATCGACAAACACACACACACAAACAAAAACATCCAAAAAAAAAAATCCTCGCCTGTTTTTCAAGTGCACATGTCACTGAAAACTTTATCTTCTCTAACCAATGTCAACATGAAAACATGCTCCTACCGTTACTAACTGAAAAACCAGTCCCAAATATCATAATGGATTCTTAAAATGGTAGTAAGTTAGATCTCAGTACAATTTTATTTTACCTCTCCAAAATTTTACCTCTAACACTCTGCTTACAGCAATGACTGTCATTCCATTCTATCCTACAGTTACTGGAGCCTCTGAATCTCTTGCACTTTTAGTATTGATGAATCAACTTTTTAAAAATTTCCCCATGTCAAATGCAATGAATGCTTCCCCACTTTTTTATCATTCCATAATGAAGTCTTTATTATGGTAATGATTAAATTTTATTTTTTATTACTATTATTTATTTATAAAAATTTCCACTTCCTCCTCTCCTCCCAATACCCTGCCACACCCTCCACTCCCTCCTCTCCTCCCTCTCCAGTAAACCCAAAGCAATGGAATTCGAAGTGGATATTTGAGTGGCCAATAGCTATGAGGGCAGATGTTCACAAATGAGAGTCACCACCTTTGAGAGTGGACTTCAGAGAGATGCCTCTCATTCCAACCTGTAAGACCACAGGGAAGTTC